TTTACAATATATACATCTATGTACAATATTTCCATCTCTATTGCTTTCTAAATATATGCCATCTCTTTTCATTGTGTTTGCTACGTGTTCCTTATTTCATTGATTTTACATCTCTTTTCAAGCCAGTTATACCACCTCTCTTTTTTTTAAACAAGGAAGAAATAGATAATGGTTGATGTTTATCACCCTTCAGCAGGCCAGACTCTCTCTGTGTGTGGTTGTGTGTGTGTGGTTGTGTGTATGTATGTGGTTGTGTGACTTTTATTTCCTAGAAAGGGTTTTAAAGCTGGACACCCCAATGTTTTGGGATATGCTCCTGAGTTCCACTCACTGTTTTCTGCCGGCAGGTGAAGATGCAATGACGGGTGACACGGACAAGTATCTCGGGCCGCAGGATCTCAAAGAATTGGGGGATGATTCTCTGCCTGCCGAAGGATACGTGGGCTTCAGTCTGGGAGCCCGGTCTGCCAGGTACGAGCATGCTCTCCTCCTTAAGCATCTTCTTGCAGAAAACATGGCTTTCTGCAGAAATTCATTCTAGTCCCGTAATGTCACGGTTGCTTCCAGCCTTTCAGTGATGCCTTCATTGTTTCCATTCATCTCTGCCCTGCTTTTCGCCAGAGTTCTGCTATGGCGAAAGAGGACCTCTATAATCCACCTCTTCCGTTCCACCACATTCAATAGGTCCATTCATTGATTCAGGTGAATGAATCACCACTTCTCTTGGGTATCTGCTCACACCCTAGAGCCATCAGAAGTTTCTTTTGGAAACAGAGGATACCTTTGTGTGTGACTCCCATAGTGGAGTCACCCAGGCCCATTTTGACAGGTCCCCCCCCCCAACCCCTGGTTGGTCGGATGTCTCTGAGGCCATTTGGTAGTTAATGGCTTCATTTCCCCCCAAAGAATGCATTATCACCCCCATGGATCATGATCACTATCTCAATTTGTTTGCCAGTTGCTGCCTTGCTGCCAAAGCCCTTCACCAGCTTTTGTTTCGAAAGGAATGCTCTGCTTTCTTGCAAGGGAGGGAAATGGGTCATGGGCTGCCCTCTTGCCATGGTGGGATGAGCAAAAAGCCCATATTAGCAAGGGAATCTTCCAATTTGCTAGGCTTGAAACCTATGAAACCATCATTTTGGAGATGATTTTCTCAGTTGGGAAAGAGGAGTCAGTTTACAGGCGGTGGAATTGTGAGGCTAATAATTAAACCCTCCCTAGCTCTGCCCCGAGGACATTTTCCTATAGCTTAATGATTGCTTGTAGAAAGTCCTTTCATTATCTGACAGCGAGTGGCATCTTCCCCCAAAGGCACAGTGTAGATGGGAGTGAATTTTGGGGGTGGTTCCTGGGTCTGCCTTGGTCCAGAAGCACGTGCCCCCACTTAACCCTTCAGACTCTTCCTTCGTGGGAAACTTTCTGATTTATGGAAATTGTTTACTCCGCTATTTCTCAAACCTTCCCAACTTGCAAGATTTGTGGACCGGCTGGGGAATTCTGAGACTTGAAGTCCACTCACACTTTAAAGTTGCTGAGTTTGAGAAACACTGATTTACTCAATCGTATGTGAGTTCAGCATTGCACAACTCTGCCAGATAAACAGAAGTCTTTTGGATGTCCCAGATTTCTTATCCAAATAGTGTAACATTCCACTGGTGGAGTTATTATTCGGGCTCTTATTCCACAAAATGTAAAGTGTGGCTTCAGTTGTTTTAACAAAGAATATTTTAATAGTAATCTAGTGAGTAGTATTTACTGGAAGAACGAACAATGAATGAACATATCCACACATCCCAAAGATATTTATGGAATGTTAATCTGTCACTTCCCTAGTCTCCCTCCCTTAGGATCAGAGCTGCTTAGCTGACTTTATTGCTCTTTGGTAGAACCTCAAATTTTAACTGGTTCACCTAAGATGAGCACAACTGTAATAAAGCAATTCTTTATATCTAAGCGACAAATGCAAATTGTGATCAGAACCATTTAAACCAATAGCAACTATCATGTCACTTAGTTTACCTAAAATAGGTGAATCTTGAGGGTTTTGTTAAGGACCTAACTGCTGAAGTGGACTTCCGATAGTCCACTTCCATTTCAGAGCTGCAGAGCTCCTACACTAAAGCCTTTTAAGTCTTGTTGATTAGCATTTTAAATTGGCTTTACATGTATGTTGGCTGAAACTGATTGGTAGAATGTAAGTATTGCATGAATTTCTTCTATCAGCAGTCAGGCAATAGTAGCAGAAGTGTTGGGACCCTGCACATATATTTTGGGGCAGCCTCTTGACTGGAGCCCTCAGAAGACCATGGTCAGGTTTCTCCTGAAAAGGTGAGAACTGACCATCCCTGACCATTGCTTTCCTGATGGCCTTGGGACGCAGCTGACCCAGGAGGACATCAACATGATTTATTGGGACTGTCTAGGAGAGATCAGCCCATCTAAAACCTGTTGCAACCCTCTAGGAGCAGCTCATAAGGATACCGTGCTAAGAACTGCCTAACAGCTTCATGGCAAGTGGTACATACCTTAAATGCATCCTTCATTGATAAACAGGGTCACACTATTCTCTCTTTAGCCCTTTCCTTGTGTAAGTCACATGTCAGGGGTCTCATAAAAGGTTTTGCCATAAAAATAAACTAAAAAGAAGGTTGGGGTATATTTTAGGAAGAGCCATGTCAGTGTTATTTGGCACTGAAAAGGTTTTGCCCAGAAGATCAGATCAGAAAATAACTAGATCTCTGCTAGGTTTCTTCAGTGGTGACCTTATTAGTACATCATTCTTACCACTAAACCATCTCTGAACAATTAACCTCCCCCGAGGCTTAATCACCCACCCAATTTTGACAGTATCAAAAGTAGACTTTTGCATAGACCCATGAAGTCTCCATGCCACTGGCTATGGGGGCTCAGTCCAGGGGGGCCTTGTGGTTGAGCAGCATCTGGTTCTCCAGCCTGAGAGCTGTTCCTGTCGTCCCACAGGAACTGAGAACATGACAGGAGGTTGCATTAGGTCGGAAATTGTCCATGTAGCCAAATCACATTGATTCCCATTGGAAGGTCTCCAGGATCACAAACAGAGTGTTTCCCCATCTTCTCCTACCTAAAGTCCCTTGGATGGAGATTTTATGTAGCCACCTGGATTTCTTTTCAGTAGATGGGCATTTACATAGATTTCTTTAATAAATAAACCATTAAAAACCAAAGAATTTTGTTCCATCACTAAGTGGGAAAATCAACCAAAGAAGCTTTTTTTTCTTTTTTCTTTTCTCCCCCCCTCTCCCCCAATTTGGTGGCTATGTCATCCAGCTCTGGCACTGTGCTTATTTTCCACTGATTCTTTGCTTTCTATTTCCCCTCCTTTTTCTTCTTTTCCCTTTCCCCTTGTACATTTCTAAACCTAGTCCTAAGGTCAGGTAAGGAAGCATGGCCGCAGCCTGGTAACGGTTCTCTGATTTTTGCCATTTCTCATTCCCCTGCTTGCTTGTGGTTTTCTTTTTTTTTTTTGAGTTAGCACCTCAGCATATCATGGCTCCTCGATTGCATCCAAATAATGCTGTTTTCATGACTGCAGTGAAATGCCCTCCAGGGGGCGGGTGTGTGTGTATTATAGCGCTTAATGGCTTGATAAGATGGACAGCTTTAATAATCCACCAAATTCTCTACTTTTTCAAGATGGTGGCCAATCCATGAGATAAAAATTCTAAAAGCGACGGGGTTTTGTAGAAAACCCAATTTGGGAAGGTTTACTGAGAAGAGCAGAGTGCATGTCATTGTCATACACTGTTAAGCCACTTATGCATTCTTATTTTTTTAAAGTTGGCCCCCAGACATTCTTCTGTTTGCTGAATGCATATTATTTGACCTTTTTCTTTTCTTTTCTCCCTTGCAACAGTAAGCATTTTTTTTTAACGTGGCATGTCTTCTAACGTTTGCTCTATGTAACTTCCAGGATTAAAACGTACATAGTCTTTGTTTTGGTGGATTCCGATTGTTTTCCTCCAAACTTCAGGAGAAGATGCTAGGTTGGCACATTCATCCCATTGTATCCCTTGCATACAATGAAGAGGCAATCTTACCAGGAGACGGATGTTCCCCTTCTGCCTCCTACCTCACGCCATTGTCCACTGGGCTAAGCTCTTGAACTCATGTTTATAAAGGACAGCCTCCTAATCTCAACCGTGGAATTTGAACCACTTAATTCTGAAAGCTTAGCCGGGGATCTCTCCTTTCTTCCTGATAGCCAGTTCATCTGAAAGGCCTGAGGTTGGAATGGGCTGCTTTTGAGCAAGATGCTTTTCCTTGTTGTGGTACACCTGGCTAGGTAGCTCAGTGGCTAAGACGATGAGCTTGTCGATCAGAAAGGTCGGCAGTTTGGCGGTTCGAATCCCTAGTATAGGTCTCCTACGTGAGCAGGGGATTGGTCTAGATGACCTCTAAGGTCACTTCCAACTCTGTTATTGAAGTGGAAGTTCAGAGTGTGCTTCAAGTGCACAGCCAGTCATCAGGGGGCAGGATCCTCTTAAGGTTAGGGCAGTCAGTTCTTAAGGTGGGGTCTTCCCTTTCGAAGAAGGCCAGTGTAGCCTCTGAGAACTCAATTCTTTAAACCAGTGGTAGTCAACCTGGTCCTTACCGCCCACTAGTGGGCGTTCCAGCTTTCATGGTGGGCGGTAGGGGTTTTGTCCGATACTGAAGCACTTTCCTTTTTTTTAATTTAATTGACTTTAAAAACAATTTTCATAGCATTATTTTAAAACATTTTTGTTAGGTTTTCATAAAATCACCATTACTGTGGAACCGGTGGGTGGTTAGAAAATTGTACTACTAACAGAGATCCAAAAGTGGGCGGTAGGTATAAAAAGGTTGACTACCCCTGCTTTAAACCAACATGGAAAGATTCTCAATAAATCGTTGAGTTAAACTTCAGAATAGAGCTACCATAATTAATGAGGAAATGGGTATTTTTCTATGCTAACCAAAATATTTCTAAATCGTTCCTTGTTTTACAAACTCTTAGCTGGGCATGGTTAGATGCACAAAATAATATTTTTGTGTGATGCAAAATAAAATAAATCCACAGTCCTAAGGTGCCATCATTTGGAAGGGCAAAGTAAATAATTGACTAAAGAAGTATCTACATAAGGGAAGAGGTCTAGGCTAGAGAAACTGAACAGTAGTTTTGAGAAAATTATCCTAAAGCTTGCATCTGTATAAATTTTGGAATAAAACTAAATTTGGAATAAATCATAAATTCAAAGTGATTACATTGCCCATTGAAATCAATCATGGTTATACTTTACTCGGATTAAACAATTAAATAATACAATGGTAATTGTACACCTAGTGTATATCGGACTTCAACGTGCATTTTTGCCACATTCAAATAGATGCCCTCTGATTTTAAATGGATAAAATAGCTGTTAAAGCAGCTCCTAATTTCTGCTGAGAGACATCATCCGAAGGCTTCCTTTGTCTAAATGAAATTGCCAGAATAAATGATGAAACTCTTCAGACTTTGTCAACGGGGGCAGGAGGGAATCACTAAAATCTTCATGGAAAGTACACTTGTAGCATTTTTAAACTCTTCCAACATTAGTTACAGGTGGTTTAGGGACTTGAGCTTACTCCCTGGAAGTTGCATGAATTAATTTTTCTTTTGTTCATCTCATCCTCATCATCACATACTCTGATAAATTGTAAATACAACCAGCCTCCGCTCCTTCAGTTCGGATAGGTCCTACACCTTGAACAGAAGCTCTTACACCCGGGACAGCGTGATGATAGAAGAACTTCTGGTGCCACCAAAAGACACGGTGAGTTCCTTGTGACTCTGGCTGGGAAGAGGGAGGGATTTAAATACAACCTTTTTGCAGTCCTTCATCTTGGTTGGACTGGGGCTGCCATCCTTACCACTCAGCACAACCTGGGCATGCTTCCTGGAATCTTTAGCTGAGCCAATTAGGTGGGGAGGAGATGGACAAGACATTTCCTCTTTATTTTCCTATTGTAATAATGTATGTGCTGCTTTAATTCAATCAATTCAAGCCAAAACTTGATGTTTTTGGCATAAATTTGTGACGTACCAAAGTGAAAATGCCCTATAACAGCGATGGCAAACCTTTTTTTGGCTTGCATGCCATAAGGGGGGGGGGGAGCGTACAGGGGTCGTGCGCGGGTGTGCAGCACCCAAAATGCAATGTGCGACCCCCCCCAGTGCACATGCGCACATGGGAGGCGCTCCCCCCCATTTTATGCATGCTTTTTTCACCCTCCCAGGCTCCAGAGGCTTTATAGGAGCCTGGGGAGGGTGAAAACAGCCTCCCCCCACCAGAGGCCCTCTGGAGGCTTCAGGGACCATCAGGAGGCTTCCCTGAAGCCTCTGGAGGGCAAAAAAAATGACCCTACAAGCAAACCGGAAGTCTGTTCCCGAACTTCCAGTTTGCTTATAGGGCCTGTTTTTTGCTCTCCGGAGGCTTCAGGGAAGCTCCTGAAGCCTCCGGAGGGCCTCCG